TCTCTTCTTTCTTTTATAGTTTTCCAAGAGGTGCCTTGAGATATCTTCAAAATGTTTCTTGATTTGATGTATTTACCTAAGAGACGCATCCTTTCATGATAATTTTCGTCCATGGTGGTTACAACCACCTATTAAGCCAATGGGTGCCTCAAAAATCTCTTCAAAATTTGTGAAAACTGATTTTACTCGTCTAGTAACTGCCACTGACGCTTAAGCATGAGGTCTCAGCACTTAGGCGCGGCCTTCTCTATTTAACCGACGCTTAAATTCCAACAGATGCGACACTACACCGTAGACACCATATCCTGATTAATATATGCATACATTGGATATCACCTACACGTACATTTCATACATCACATAGTACATCTTGCACACCATATACAGATACACCACATATCTTTATTTGATGGATCTAAGTATAATCATATCACATCTTTATACTGCAGACATTATATCCACACACTACGCCCTGCACGACAGATATTACATATCATGTATAGATACTACGGGGTTTACTGAGTTCAGATGCTACATTTCACATATAGGTGCACTACACTTTGAGGAGTCCAGATGCTACTCTTACTCTGTTCACACATCCTTTAAACGATAGGTTCTAGGGTTGTCTGATTATATGGGTGATTTGTTGGTGACCTCTAGTTGATATTGGTAGGTTGACTTCGATATATCGGTTTCCTGTGGGATTGAGATAAAGAGAAGAAGAGGTCTAGTATGAGCCTAAACCTAAATTAAAAGCTAATATTCCACTTTAAATTTTCATATGCTCATTATTTAACCTTTCTTTTATCATTTGCAAATATCTGCATATTCCTCTTATATTATGCAATTGTAATATATTTTGTAGCATCGCCAGACTTAATCATGTACACTTAGTTGTTTCAGTTTTGTTCCTTTACTGCACCTTTTTTTTATTGCATAGTCTTTCCTTTCTTTATGTCGCTTTATTTTTATAATTTTCCTTTAGTCTTTTCTTGTTACAATACGTCACTACATAGTTGTTTCTTTCTTGTACTATATCGTAATATAGACATTCACCTGCATTCATTTTTTTATATATATACAAGTTCTTTTAGTATGTTTATGCAATTCCCTAGGATAGGCCATTCAAGGCATGATTTTCTCTTTTCTTTATCCCTCTTCTCAGAACGAGATGACGACGTTGTTGATTGGTGATTCATCTCCAGGCAGCAATCGGGACTACGACGGATGGTGGCAGAAGGAACTTCAACCAAGCTTCGATAGATTTAACTAATATGCATGTAGGACGCTGAGGTTGTTCGTCTGACATTCTTGCATGGTATAAATCCTCACACTATCTTTTAGGACTTCCTATGATTTCATATCATACGATATAAGTCCTATAAGTCCTAAACTTCTTAGGATTCTGAGGTGGTCGTTCGGTACGACATAAATCCTCACATTTTCTCGGGCTATTTGCATATGACATACATATATAAGTCCTGAATATCTAAATAACTCGCAAGATTGAAATATCACATAATTTCTCTTTCAAAGATGTAAAGTCAAACCATAGATTAGTTTGAGATGTCACCGATTCTTCTTCAGTATCTTCAACATCTCATACTTTTCATTCCTTTGGATTCCGAAAGTAACTGTTCTTACTTGAACCTATCCCATTTGACTTTTCCTATAAGCAATCGTGGAAACCTAAACGTTAAATTCTTGAAGATGAAACCTCTGATCATTATCGAGAGTTTTCTTAGGTGAGTTATGTTGTCTAAGATGTAATTAACTATAGGGGCTTACCTCTATAGTGAATTTAAGAACTCAGATTAATCTAAACCCTATTTAATCTGTGTTAGATAGGGGAACTTGTCGGCCATAAATTCGCAGAGCAAAATAGAGTCATAAACTTTTAAGTTTAGATAGACGATCATCCTTTCAGATGATATATCATTTATAGTAATCGTGCTCAGCTATTTGAACTATTAAATATATGAGGTCTATCTGGTCTCATCTTTTTTCAAAAATAAAGGATATCATTTTCACAAAATTAAAATTACATTATATATTATACTAAATTTAAATTTAAAAATATTATTTTCAAAAAAAAATGGCCGATAGAGTTGAAACCTGTCATTATCCAAACGGTGCAAAACAACCAATTTGGGAGAACTCTGTCTAAAGATCCAAACTTACACTTAGCTAGTTTTATAGAATTATATGTTACATTTAAGTATGAAGACGTGTCAAATGATGTTGTTATACTAATATTTTTTTCTTTTTTTCTTAAGGGATAAAGCTAAAATGTGGTCGAACTCATTAGTACTTGGATCTATTGGAACTTGAGGTGATTTAGCTCAAAAATTCCAAGCTAAGTATTTTTCACCTTCAAAATAGCTAAGCTTAGAAATAATATTACCTCATTTTCCCAATATGTAGGTGAATCAAAATACGAAGCATGAGAACAATTTAAAGAACTGCTTGGGAAGTGTCTACATCATGCTCTGTCCAATTATCGTGCTACCATGGTGCCCATATAAAAAATCGACCCATAGATAATATTGAGGGCATATATCAAGGAGAGGTGGCTGATGCAAACTGTATTGCTACCATGGCGTCCATATAGGCAATCGACCCATGGATAATGTGCCCTACATCAAATGTTACATTCTTTAGATCACATAGTTTAGTGTTGCATGCTCCCTCATTACTTCACTCAGATGCGAACTTGGTAATAACCCACCTGAAACAAGGAGTGTCAAGCTTTTGACTCCTAGTCATGGGCACTTTTTTGGAAGTTCAAGATCCCCCCTCGTGCACCCTCAACAAAACATCCTATCTACCTTGTGTCAGGTACCGAAACACCTCACAAAAGTTAGAGCTCCAATCTATAAATTTGGTATACTAATCAACAATGCATCCGATTAAACAATATATGTTGTTGATCAAATCCCAATCAAAGGCCACCTAATGTCCATTGATAAACATTAATCATGAACGCATAGATGATCAAGATAACTGTGGGACCAGGAGCTTGCATGAAATTCTCCTAGCCTCGTCTCACTACCACCAGGCTTAGAGAAACCATATTTGACGATGATATTTTGGCAGAATAGTGAATCAACATACCATTACGTGGCTTTCTAATCAAGCAAATTAGGTCCTATCATATTTACTGTCATCTTTCGTTGGTGATGCAGCTCTTTGACATCTGCGGGGCGATATCTTGTAAGCTATGACTGGAAATTAACAAATGTAAGGGGGAAATCTATGAGAATTCAACTAGAAAAAACTCAAAATGTAAAAAACGTCAGACCCAAGCCCTTATATATAGGCTTTGAGATGTCGCAATATTGGGCGTTGCTGTTGGGCCCTTGTGGGTCCCACTATGCTATTAATTTATATTTGTAATGTATGTTTTTCATAAATTTTTTTAATAGAGCGTTACATAGCTAAGCACCACACTGAGGCGTTCTCCATTGATTGGGTTAATATTATTGAAGCACCAACGATCGAAATTAAAAATCATAATGAGACATCACGACGCTGAGTATGGTGTCATTACACTATCCCTTTGACCAAGTTGATTCCATTGAAGAGCAACTGGTCAGAGTTAAAATCATAATGTGGTGCCATAGTACCTGACTTTAGGGTAATTGTGCCATAATGACATTTTATGTCAAATAAAGAAGTGTCTTTTTACCAATAGGGTTGCGGTGCCAAGTTCAACATGTGATGTCACACCTTATTTAAGGAATCTAAGGTGTGGTGACCAGCAGACACAAATACAGGTCTTGAGGCATACAAGTAAGCACATTGGCTTTTAAATAAGTCAAAAGAGACATCTAAATATGGTCTTGAAATCATCTTTATGATCTATAAAAATACTAGTCATTGTTTTATGAGAGAGTTGTCCTAAGGTGATAACCCCTCTTAAGATATAAAATTTATCATATCTTCTTAAATAGTGGAAAAACTTTTGGTAATGCAAGCCCCTCGAATAGTGAAATAATCACTTCATAATTGGATCCATAATACAGTAGTATTTTGCATCTGATTATGATCTATTATTTTTAATGTCATATTCAATTACAAGTAAAAAAATTTCAACTCTGTGTGCGGTCTGCATATTCTATCTCCCTGACAGATTATATCCCAACACGAACAAATAATATTACATGATAATTATCAATTGATGCTCTGATGTGATATTTTGACATTATATGAAAATACATCTGATACACCACATGAATAACTATATGCAAAACCATCAACACATGTGGGCTCAACAACATATGTTAAACTCTGAAGTTATGTAGGACATTTGAAGTATGAAGGTACATCTTTTAGTTTATTGTGGAGTACTTTTGAGAGTAGCCATCTATATTTATAATTTGAGAGCATGCATATCCTAATGTCAATGTCTGCACATTAGTTGTAGGATATGAGCTATGATTTTGGTGAACTAACCAAGAAAATTATTACATGCCACAAATGCTCATGGCAATATGTAGGATTACTTCCTATGAATTTACATACATACCCCCACCATTTTAGGTTTTAAAATTGAAATGCGCCTTCATACGTAGGGTAGATATGTAAAAAATGAAAGTTATGAAATCTCTTTAAAATGCAGTAGCCTCCCGCTACAGTCCCACAGTCCAAGAGAACCGGAAACTCCGCTCACCTTCCTTCTCTTCCGCACCCTCATGGCCGGAGACGCCGAAAACCTAATCCTAGAAGGGGACCGTCTTCCGACGACATCAACAACAGCTCCCGGCACTCCTCTTCTGCAGTCCAGCGAGACTGACCTCGATCGCTACCTCCGCCGGCTAGAGGTCTTTCTATCTTTCCTTAGCTTCCACTCCCACTCTTCTCTTCTCATACTCCTCCTCTGCACCTTCGTCTTCCTCCTCCTGGGCGTGGCCATCCCCTTGTCTACTATCATACTCACCGTCTGCCCGCACGGAGGCTGCGACGGCTATCGGATCGAGCGTTTAGAGATCTCCGTGTTTGTATTCAGGGTGTTGCTAGCCGCTGTATCTCTTGCTTGCGTATCCCGTAATCTCTACAAGTATGGAATCCGCAGGTTCCTATTCGTCGATCAGCACCACGGCCAAGCCGACCGGTTCCAGAAAGAGTACGTTCACAAGATCCAGGTATGATCGTGTGTAAGGGGAATTAGTTCTTAAATCTATAAACTTCCATTCACCTGCTTTGCTTATTTATTATGGATCCACATATGTTTTCATGGCCGATACGCGACTTGTTTTCATCGCCGATACGCGACTTGTTTTCATCGCCGACCCGCGACATCATAAGATTTGGTAAAGTATAATTTCTATATGGGGCCCCATTTTTTCCCCTCATTTCTTCTTCCAAAGCCATATTTTATTAAATGGCCCCTTGAATAACTCTTCTGCACTGCTAAAGCTGTTGACTATAGTAACAAGTTTCATTTGGTATGGAGGAGGATTTAGTACACGGGTTTAAAAATCATCTCTTGATATTTTTCTGGCTTTCCGGATACATGTTGATTGTATCATGAGGATGGATTTTATGTATGAATTGATAGAACTTATTTGTATTGGGCCGGTCTTCTTTTAAAGGGGCTGTTTGGTAACGGATTTAATGAATTATGTAACTGTTGTTGAAGCATCTGGTTCCCATGTGGCAACATCATCTAACAATGCTTTCCATTTAATCAGAAATTTGTATTGACCTTCGTCTTGAAATGCCGTCTTATGCACAATCTTTGGTCTCATCCGAATCGGATTGTGTCATGACTTTCAGTCAATCTTGGAGATATCTTAACCTCAAACAACTCATCTAGTAGCTCATCAATCACCGAAATTTTTGTCAACTCTGTATCAAGTGTCTCTCCACTGTCATGCAACTCTATCAAGAATTCTACCACTGCATCTTGAATTTCTCTCATTATAGTCTTCAACGTCATCGTCTTATCTCTATCCAGAATACTCTTCAGTGTCCAAATAAATCCCTTATAAGCTCCCACGCTCTTCTCCACCTATCTCGTTCCCATCATTACTTTTGAATTGGCTTTTGCCTGGAATCATAAAAGATACTGGCGTAGTTGGACGTAGCCCTCTACCGGGATTCCACCCACCGTGGTTCCTTTGAGCTGAAATTCTTCGAAATGATCTTCTCTAGCCCCGAATCGCACGTCGTTCTGATCTATCTGTTGTCGCTCATTCCAAAACTCACGATATCGTGCAATCCCCTCCATATGTTGCCGCTCAAATCCGTTTCTGACTTCTTCATTCAATCATGCTTGCTTTCGTTTGTTCTAGCCGTCCAAATGTCGCATTATTTCTTCCAAGTATTTCCGCTCGAGTTCGCTTCTGATTCCTACTCTTGTATTGCAGCTCCTGATTTGCCTAAAGTAGTGACACTGCCTTGATGTTACGTGAATCCTTCTAGTTGTTTATGCTTGTATCCGTTCCTTACACCGCTGCTCGATCCTGATGCAGGTGAAGGTGATTTTGTGTGAAACTTCATGATCTTCTTCATCATTTTTTTCAGGTTGTGATTCTTCGCTTGAACCGCCCATCCATGGAAAAGAAATAATTCTCCATTTAAGATTTGATTTGGCTCATCTATTCCTCTAATTGTTTCTCCAGAGCATCTATTTTTTTATTGCCATTACTCCTGTGATGATTTTCAATAACGAGAAAGGAACACTTGCGCTCTGAGATCCCGTTGATGGCTTTGGTAGCTCGAATAGCCCAAATGGTGATTGTATAACAATGTTCAACCTCTACATGCCGCAGTACTGCAATTTGCTTCCCAGCCAAGTCGATCCCAACATTAGCTTATTGTATCGCAACGTTCGCACCCTATACACCGCGAGGTTCAATTACTGAATCGTGACTGTATCACGAGTTTCGCGATCCGTCGTTGGCGTTACTTGTATGCTACGATGCTCCCCAGCTAGCTCAAATCGCGACTGACTCGCAAAGGGATGCCACATTCCCACATAATTATTGCGATTGTATCTGCGAGTCTCAGAGTGAGAAGATGGGAGTTTGGGCCTTTGTACGCCACAAGTCCCGACGTCTGCTTCCCTGTTGTCTGAATTTTGTCGGTCTTCAAAGGTGTAGAACAAGATCCCGTCTTTGCCTTCCCAACGAGCTTAACTCAAGACTGTATGGTACACTACGATCCCTTCATTTGCATTCTGAGATCAAGTGCACCGTATGCCACTATACTTCCTGTGATTGCTCCTCTGTATAAACTCTGGCTCTTGATGCGTTTCTTCAAATCCCAAAGTGGAATGCTCTGATACCAATTTGTTAGGAACCGGCACAATTTTTCAGATAGAAATTAGGGCAAACCAATTACTTTCTTCAATAACAGAAACAACAGATGTAAAGAATAAACAATTTACAATTCAAGAGGTTGGCGAGCTCTCCCAAACCCTACAATTCAAGAGGTAGGAAATCACTCACAAACCCTGACCTCAAGATCCAAAAACCAATCTAATGCATAACCCTAGCCCTAATCATATTAGTCCTATTTATACTAAACAATAATAAATGATAAATGATTAAATTGTTGTTAGGCTAATAAAGACAAATTTGCCCTTATGTGCTGATCTAACAAAAAAAATAGAAGATATTTCTAAGAAAACATATCCAGCACACACAGAAGGGTTATTCATACTAACTAGTTAGATTAACAATGTTTACTGTATCATTAAGATTACTACATGTCTTTTCAGTAATATCATTCAATTTCTATCTCATCTCACCTTTCAGGAAAGCAGCACTTCTAATTATCCTAGTTGTGCAATGCTGAAAGCAACAAGACAATTCATTTTATTTGGAAGATTTACATATGTACTCAAGTCCTTTGTATTTACATACCTGACAAACTTCAATTTTTACAAGCATATCTCCGTAGCTATGCATGAAATAATGTATTCTCGTTTTAAAAATTAAAATGGTGGTATTTTTGTTGTGATATGAAAGATATGGGTGGTAAATGTAAAAAAGAATTGTTTAGGTTTAGATATTTAAATACATGACTTGGATGGCATGTATGTAAATCAGTGCCTCCTTTCTTTCTACTTTAAGCATGCTTATAATACTCTGCATGATTGAATGATAACAGGTGTCTTGATTAGATTAACTTGCATTATTGGATGTGTCTTTCTAAAATTATCCTTTTTTAGTGATCTTCCCTTCATTAAGAACTCCATGACAATCTTCTACAGGAATTTTTTTTCCTGCTTCTTTGGTGGATGCTGCCCTGCTTTGCTGTGAAAGTTATGCGTGAAATCCTTCGCTTCGGAGCCATCTCTCACGACTCCACATGGAAAGCTGTCGTTGTTTTGTTATTCTCAATTATGTCATGGATTTACCTAACCACAGTTTTCCTATCATCTTGTCTTCTCTTCAATCTGGTTATCAATTTGCAAGTAATTCATTTTGAGGATTACTGCAGACTTCTAGAAAGAGACATGGATACACTCATATTTTTCGAAGAACACATCCGACTGCGATATAATCTCTCGAAAATCAGCCACAGGTTCCGCGCTTTCCTTCTGTCCGTGTTCTTATTTGTCTCAGCTAGTCAATTTGTAGCGCTCATACAGATTACTGGATACAATGAAACTATCAGCTTCACAAATTCTGGAGACTTAGCAGTAAGTTTAATGAGAAAAGTATCAAAATGATGTCCCGGCTCTTTGCTGGTGGTCCTTTTAGTCCCAGAGTTTAGTCCCAGAGTCTATAAAAGTGTCAATTTAGTCTCAAAAGGTTTAAATTGTACCCACGGAAGACTATTTCAGACCCAATTTAAAGCGTTTGGGAGCTAATTTGGCACTTTTATAGATTATGTGTCTAAAATGGCCCCCATATAAATCGTCGCGACTATTTTGGCTATTTACTCTAATTTGATTTGGTAAATATGTAAAAAAATTGGAAGCTTCGGCTATGTCTTCTAAGCTGTACAATTCACATTGCAGGTAGCTTCTGTTGTTCAGGTGGTTGGTGTCGTCCTCTTGTTGCATTCGGCTGCTAAAATGTCTCACAGGGCTCAAGGAATTGCTTCTGTAGCCTGTAAATGGCATGCACTGTTGACCTGTTCTTCCACTGATACATCTCAGGGAAGAACAAACAGCTCTGGAAACTTGGATGGCGTTCAAGCAGCTCCTCATTTGTTAATGAATTATTCAGAAAGTGATTTGGAGTCTTTGGACAATGTATCAGGCCTTACGAACACTCGCCTCGTTTCTTACATGTCGACGTATCACAAGAGACAAGCCCTCGGTATGTAAAAACTCATCCTCAACTTGTCAACTACGCTATGTTTTTTTTTACATACATGCCACCCAATGTCTTAACAGTTAAAACTTTACTTTTTTATGTTTATTTCAACTAAATATTTCATATCACATTAGTTATACTCTCTGAGGTTCGATTCCACCCGAGTGCAGGGTTATACGTATGCATATAAGTGTCCAATTTACCAAATGATATTATTATATTAAAGTATTAATCCTCATGATATTTGTACTCTACAGCCATGTATCTTCAAACAAATGCTGGTGGGATCACCATATTCGGTTGGATAATCGACCGCATAATGATGAACACTATTTTCTTCCTGGAGCTGACATTAGTTCTGTTTGTGCTTGGAAAGACCATTGTTTTCACTTCCAAATGAGGGCTTCCCATAACTCTCGCTCTCTTACAGGCAGCAATATGCGTGGCTTATTTCTTCGTCAGGTAACTAATGCTTCTGTTATGATTTGCTTCACTTTAGTGATTCCGTATATTTAAAACTTTTTGTATGCTATGTAATATAAAGAGGGTCCATTTGATAGTTGACTGTAAAAATAATTATAGAATTATTATGAAAAAATGTTTTTTTAAAAAGTATTATGGGTTTTGTAGATTTTTTTTTTTTTGATAATTTTTTATTAGCTTTTTTATTGCTTTTTTATTTTACAATATCTGGTTATAGATAGGGGTGTAAACGAGCCGAACACGAGCATCAGTATGCGGCTCGTTTATATTTCGAGCTCAAAAAGTGTATTCGTGTTCGACTTGTTTGCTTAGCGAGCCGAACACGAGCTGTTCACAAACAAAGAGTCGTTTTGACAACCCTAATCACATAGCCATAAGATGTTAAGGTTTGAGGCAAGATTTAAAACATCATTTGAATCTAATTTAATAATTTTTATTCTATTTTCTTAATTAATACTTTTAATTGATTATAATTTTTTTAGCTTTTTAGTTAATTAAATTTTTTAAAAATATTGCTCAGCAAAGTATTCAATTAAATTTTAAAAAAAAGACTACTCATCAAAGATATATATATAATTGATTAGTAGTATTTCGAGCCAAAATGAAACGAGCCGAACACGAACAAATGTTATTCGGGTTGTTTATACTCTGCTCAAACGAGCCGAACACGAGCTGTTCGCGAACGAGCCGTTTGACAATCCTAGTTATAGAAATATATCAATCATGATATATTTTTTTAGAAAAATAGAAAAAATTTATTTGCATTCAGGGTCGAAACCAGATTTTTAAGGAGAGGGGGCGGCAAAACTAAAAATCAACCAATGTATGTTAAAATTTAATTTTTTTTTTCTAAATGAATTAAATAAATAAAATGAAACAAAATGAAAATTTCTCAGAACAGCTTTTAAAATAAAATAAAATAAAAACTTAATCTAATTGTTATTGATAAACATCTTGAATCATGCGGTATCGAAATCATCAATTACCGATTATATATTAAGTATTATTGCAATATTATTTTTAATTAATTTTTTTAGTGAATTCGCAAAAAAAAAATTATGTTTGAAATTTAAAATTAGGTTAATATATTTTAATTAAGTAAAGGAATAAATTAAATGAATTTCTGTGAACAGCTTAGAAAATATAATCGTTTAATCTAATTGTTATGAATAAACATTTTAAATTGTGCATGATATTTTTTAATCACATCGAAATCAGTAAATATTGATTATATATTAAAATTCATTGTAATATCATTTTTAACATATGCTATAAATGAACTCTCAAGAAAAACTTCTTTAATTTTATATTATAATTGGCTTCATAAATGTAACACTTGAATCTTTGAATTTTTAAAATTAAAATACATATTTTGGATGCACATGTTCTTAATAATATGAACAAATAATATATCCAGACTTCGGATGTAGAGATGCGTTCGGAGTTCAATGAAATTACGTCACGTGGAGGTGATAGAAAAATAAAAAAAATTTTATTTTTATACGGGGGAATATTCTCTCATGTTATTATGCGTTATTCAGAAAATACATATTTTGGATGCACATGTTCTTAATAATATGAACAAATAATATATCCAGACTTCGGATGTAGAGATGCGTTCGGAGTTCAATGAAATTACGTCACGTGGAGGTGACAGAAAAATAAAAAAAAATTTGTTTTTATACGGGGAAATATTCTCTCATGTTATTATGCGTTATTCATGTGTTATTATGGTAGTATTCATATGTTAGTGTTCT